ATATAAATATATATATATATATATATATATATATATATATATATATATATATATATATATCAAAATACAGTTAGAATACAATTACATATATATATATAATTTTTTAAAATTATTTTACATTTTTTACATTTATTTTAATTTAATTGTTATTTATTTTTTTAAATGATATATATATATATATACACAATATATATATAGTTTATATATATATATATATATATATATATATATATACGTGTGTAATTTTACTCCAAGTGTATTTTTATATTAATATATGCATATATTAATAAAAAGTAGACTTAGTATGATGTTATATATAAGATATATATATATATATATATATATACATATTATATATAGATATCTCATATATACATATATATTAGAATTTATTAACTTTATTCTTTTATTTTAAAACTTTTTTTTTAAACTTTTTCCACCAGCAAGGGGACTGCCCGTCAGTTCAGGCAGTTATCCTGCTGGCAGCACTATGGACTCCTATTGCGGCCATGTGATCGCTCTTTTTTTTTTTTAAATGTTTTATTTTAGTTGTGCATGTGATTATAACAGTCGCTTGTGAGGTAACCCAAAGGCAGTCCTCTAGCGCATGATAAACAGTTTAAACATTGGGGTAGACGTTGGATCTAGAACATTTTTAAGTTAGTAATGTTATGAACAGTATATATTTACGTTGCTTAAGCATTTCAAAACATAACACGGAACAACATTGCTTGTATCTTTCTAGATAGTAGGGTTTTACGCTATGTCATAAGCTAGTCAAACAGAAAATAATTATGCTAAACTTACATGAGCAGGATTAAAGTAACACAGTATATAATTAGGAGTTTGCAGGCTATAATCACAGAAGTATTTGGTCACTGATAGTTACGGATCTAGTTCACTGCACTGTTTATAAAATACACTTTAACATTGAAATATAAATGCTTGTGAGATGTGTGGTAGGTGCTAATATGTTGCTAGACATAGGCTAAAACATACCAAGGTAGGCTAGAATGAGTCTTGCAAGCTTTACCACATTTGTTTTGTTAAAGTCGTGTTTGTGACCCTTTTCTAGCCTGAGAGAGGGAAGGCCTATAACTTAAAGAAAATTCTATAATCGTTAGCTGTGCTAGTGAGGGATAATCATTTCAGGTTAACGAAGACAGTGCCAATGAAGAGAGCAGTCAAACAAATTAATAAAGACCCCTGGGGTCCCCCAGGCAAAAGTCCCGCTCTCATCAAGTCGGAATTTAGTGAGGTATGCCCCCAAGGTTGTGAGTTCCTGCTATGACTTTGTCATTGTGTGAGGTCTCACGGCCAGGATAGCTAGTGTCCCGGTTCACCCGATGCCTCGTTGGGGCTGCTGTTGCTCGTGGTGTTGCCTTGTGGTGTAGCTATCGAATCCCTTGGGCTGCAGCCCTGTCAAGGTAAGCCTGCCACATCTGTGCCTCTGGAGCATGGTGTGCACCCTGAGAGGTAGTTGGACATCGCTCTTTGTGGCTTGTTGCTGGGTGTCTTCTGTGTTCCCTCTTCGATGCCGCCGCGCTGCAGGATGTGCGTGTAAAGTCGGCTCCGCTGTAAGTGAGCTGTGCTTGGCGGCAAAGTTGATGATCGCTGGCGGGGGTACTTGCTGTGCGATCTCCCATTTCTTCAGCCCCTCTGCCATGATCATTGGTGAAAGGCCCTCTCTGTTAGGTTGGTGGGAGATCGGGCTGGTGTGTGTCTGCACGATTTCTTGCCGGTTCCTATTGCCGCCTGACAGGTCTTCGGTGTCCTGCCGCTGGTGAGTGTCTCGCTGCTTCCGACCTTCTGGGCAGCTCGGTACTCAAGGTGTCCATGCCTGCACCTGTTTGGTTTCACTCAGGTGAGTACGTGGCTTGATGACAGGCACTGCCTTAGTGTTCTCCGGGAACATAAGGGCTTCCAGCTTGTCCCATAGAGTCTGGAAGGCCCTGTCCAGCCGGTGCTCTATGTCTGGCTGCTCACTGTGAGTATTGGGGGAGCATGCTGCTTCCGCCATTTTAGGTGTAGTGCTACCATTTGTTGCAGGCCCCTGCATCTCCTCAGCTGTCTCGCCGGGCCATGCCAGGGTCTCCCGAGGGTAGACCGGGATAACACCCACTGGTCCAGGGGGGGGGAAAGAGTGTCTGGTCTCCGCTTGTCAGCCGTGGATGTCAGCGGGGGAGCGGCTGTCTCCCTCTCGCTGACCATGCGTGTAGGCCTCGTAGGAAGGGCAGATGTTGTGTACCAAGTTTGTCGCTTGTGTGGCATGGTTGTGTGCCCCTGGTTGTCACCTTCCGGTTTGTAGTCTTTTTGGGCCGATCAGGTCCTGTTTAGGTGGCCTAATTCAGCTTAATTATCGCTGCAGAGCAGGAGCTAACCAGGTCTGCATCCTTTCCTCTCAGCGGTCAGGCCCCGTGATGTGAGCGATCATATGGCCCTTGGGGTCCTATTTTGGGAACGGAGGGAGAGGGAGGGAAGGGGTTAATTATTATTTATTATTATTTTCTTTTTATACTTATTTTAATTTTCACTGAGTGCCTCAATCCCTCGAGGCACTCAGCACAGGCAGAGCATCGGAAGCCTACCTGATGGCTTCTGATGCTCTGCCTCACTGCCAGGCACCATGTGGGGGAACCCGGAAGTGATTGCTCCAGGGGAGCAATCACCCGGTGGCCCGGCAGTGAGAGGGGTATTGCAGGATGCTTTGACATCGAGGCATCACTGCAATACCCCTAGAGGGAGTTTATGAGGCACTTCGGAAACCGCACAAACAGAACAAGTCTGCAAGTCTGCACATATTCCTTAACATCCTTCCTGAGGGAATACCACCAGAATGACCTCATGATAGCAGAAGTGGATTTATTAATACCTGGGTGACCAGCAGACACACCTTCATGATATTAACCCTTTCCCCCAATGGAACGAACAGTTAGTCCTGAGGTTTACCGCAGGGCGCCTGAGACTGAGCCTCCATGATGGAGCCAAGCAGTGGAGAGGACAATGAAAGGACAGTGGACGCAATGATACATTCTGGGGGAATGATATGGGACGTTTCTTGCTCTAGTATAGCCTCAGTATCAAACTGCCTGGACAAGGCGCCGGCCTTGACATTTTTAGAACCAGGTCTGTAGGTGATAAGAAAATTAAAGCGAGAAAGAAATAGAGACCATCTAGCTTGTCTAGAAGATAATCGCTTACCATCTCCTATGTAAGCCAGGCTTTTGTGATCAGTAATGATCAAAAGGGGGTCCTTCTAGAAAAGTCGCCACTCCTTGAGAGCTAGAATAATGGCCAACAATTCTCTATTGCCAATATCGTAATTGCGCTCAGCAGGAGACAACTTTATAGAAAAGTAACCACAAGGAAGTAACTGAGTTTCCTGGCTCTCCCTCTGGGAGAGAACTGCTGCTACCCCTGTCTATGAAGCATCAACCTCCAGTATGAAAGGCTTACTGGTGTCAGGATGTATCAATATGTCAGCGGAGGAAAACCTCTGTTTGAGAGTTTCAAAGGCTTCAATTGCCTCTTTAGACCATATCGTACTACTAGCCCCTTGCTTGTCATATTGGTAATGGGGGCTATTACTGAAGAAAATCCCTTTATACATCTTCTGTAATAATTGGCAAAACCAATGAACCTTTGAATGGCTTTCAACCCAGTGGGTAAAGGCCACTGTAGAACAGAACTCTACTGGTGTCAGGATGTATCAATATGTCAGCGGAGGAAAACCTCTGAGAGTTTCAAAGGCTTCAATTGCCTCTTTAGACCATATCGTACTACTAGCCCCCTTGCTTGTCATATTGGTAATGGGGGCTATTACTGAAGAAAATCCCTTTATACATCTTCTGTAATAATTGGCAAAACCAATGAACCTTTGAATGGCTTTCAACCCAGTGGGTAAAGGCCACTGTAGAACAGACTCTAGTTTTTTAGGATCCATCTGAAACCCCGAGGCAGAAATATTATATCCTAAAAACTGTACTTCAGACTGGTCAAAGATACATTTTTCCAATTTACAATAAAGTTGGTTTTTAATAAGGTTTGCAGAACTTGTTTAACATGATCGTGGTGAGACTGGAGGTCAGGAGAATAAATAAGGATATCATCCAGATAGACCAAGACTAACGAGTAAATGTAATCCCTGAGTACATCGTTAATGAAATCTTGGAAAACCGCTGGAGCATTGCACAACCCGAATGGCATCACTAGATATTTATAGTGTCCACTTCTGGTATTAAATGCAGTCTTCCACTCGTGGTTTTCCTTGGTTCTCACTAAATTGTAAGCGCTTCTAAGGTCAAGCTTAGTAAACACTTTAGCGCCCTGGAGTCTGTCAAATAATTCAGCAATAAGAGGAATGGGGTAGGCATTCTTAATGTTGATTTTGTTCAATGCCCTGTAATCGATACATGGGCGCAACTCACCATCCTTTTTAGATACAAAAAAGAATCCTGCACCAGCAGGCAAGGATGATTTTCGTATATGGCCTTTATTCAATGAATCTTTAATATATTCCTCCATTACACTACTCTCCTGAGGAGATAGAGCATAGACTGATCCCTTAGGTGGCATAGCACATGGTAGTAAGTTAATGGAACAGTCATATGGTCTGTGAGGAGGTAGAGTATTAGACTGAGTCTTGCTGAATACTTCTTTAATGTCTTGGTATTGTATAGGGATCTTGGGATTTTGAGTTGTACTAGTGGGTAATTCAATAGTACCCACTCTTTTGGTTACATGCAATATGCACCTTTCATTACAATCATTACCCCATTCTAATATTTTCCCATTAGCCCAGTCAAAATGAGGGTTATGCTTGCTAAGCCAAGGGAATCCTAATATAATAAGACAAGAAGGAGATGCAATCACCTGAAATGTAATTGCTTCCTTATGTAATGCACCAATGGAAATATTAACGGGTAAGGTTTCATGCGTTATCAATAGTTGTGAGAGTGGTCTCCCATCAATCGCTTCAACAGCTAGGGGTGATAGTCTCTCTTTGATAGGTATAGTATTACCTTTGACAAATTGAACGTCGATGAAGTTTCCAGCAGTACCTGAATCCATCAGGGCTTTGCATGAAAAGTTATTTTTGTCAAAGGCGATAGAAATGTCAAGGAGAAACCTATTTTTATTCTTTTCAGAGGACGTTTCCATTACACCTAAGAACTGTCCCCTTAAGGTGCTTAGTTGCGGTAGTTTTCCGGACGTATGGGACAGTTGTTTCTCATATGTCCCTTCCTACCGTAGTATAGACATAGGCCTTCTTTTCTCCTATATAGTCTTTCTGCTTCCGACAGTCTAGTGACCCCCAACTGCATGGGTTCGGGTTCGGACTGTACAGAAATTTCAGGGACAATAGGTCTGGAGAAACGGGGTGCTAAATGCATACTCATGCGTCTAGTCTTGTTTCTAGTAGCTTCTCTGGTTCCTAATCTATTATCAATCTGCATGACAAAAGTGTTAAATTCATTAAGCTTTTTGGGTAAGTCTTTGGCGGCAATCTCATCTAGCATAGTTTCAGATAATCCCTTTTTAAATGCAGAGATTAACCCACTATTAGTCCAGTCTACTTTGGAAGCTAGGGTACGAAATTCTATGGCATATTCCGAGATAGACCGGTTCCCTTGTCTGATGTGCATCAGGGCAGTAGAGGCGTTATCCTCTCTGCCTAAAGGTTCAAACGTAACTTTGAATTCTGTAAGGAACTCCTGGTAATTGTGTGCCCCACTCCTATTACTCTCACATAATGGATTGGCCCATGCTAAAGCTTTACCTTTTAATTGATTCATTAGGTAACCAATTTTAGCTCTGTCTGTGGGAAAAGATCCCGGTGAGGCCTCAAAATGATACGTCATTTGGTTAATAAATCCCCGGCATTCTTGAATATTACCATCAAAATGCAGGGGAGGCGATAGGGAGATAGTAGGTGCCGTGTGTACTATAGCTGGAGGTACACAAGGTGGAGGTGGGGCCGCAGGTTGCAGATGCGCTGTTCGGGTAAGAAGCATACTGAAGGCCTGGGCAAATTGATCCATGCTGTGATCATTATCCTCCAGTTACCTTTCACAAGCAGCTATGTGCTTACACAATTCTACAGGATCTATGGCCCTGTCATAATATCAGGATTACAGAATGATCCAGCACGTAGAATTGTGTAACACAGAGGACTGATAGGTAACGTATACCGGACCTTAGAATGGCCGGACTATGTACCAAAGAATAGTCAGGAGTAGCCGAGGTCAAGGGATACAGAAAGAGACACAACGATAAGGAAAAGCCAGGAGTCAGGGATGCCAAAAAACAGGGAAGTCAAAAACAATGCCAAAGTCAAATAACCAGAATAACCAGAATCAATAACACGGTCTCGGACAACCACAAGGGAAACCACGACAGGGCACTGAGCAGGATGAGAACTGGGCCTAAATACTCCTCCTCTAGATCTGATAGGCTGTAACCGGCCTTTGACCCCAAAAGCAGTTACCAGGTTCCCATTTGCATAATTGCTGCTCAGCATTAACCCTTCTGTGGATTTGGTTGCTGCTCGGCACAACTTTTCATGTGTGGACAGTAAATGCCATTAACCCCATTTTTATAAGCGGATGAATACGTGACACCTTGTCACTCTCTTCTCCCCCTTGTCACTCTCTTCTCCCCTCCCCCTCCCTCCCCCGTCAATTCCCCTCCCTGTTAATTTCTTTCTCCCCCCTGTCAATTTCTTTCTCTCCACCTCCCTGTCAATTTCTTTCTCCCCCCTCCCCTACCTCTGTTGTAGTCAGGAATGCGGCCCCCAGATTTTGCTGAACTACAACTCCCATGATTCCATGGCTATCTGTTTCATTGAAAGAATCATGGGAGTTGTAGTTCAGCAACATCTTGGGGGCCATAGGTTGGACAGGCCTGCCTCACAGCATTGTAAATATACCTGTTGAGATTTAATTTAAAATGTCAGCTGCTGATAATTGAGCATTACAATCAATGATTATTGTTTGTATTGCATTGTAGAAAGACATAGAAGACAGTATATAGACAATTCCATGTGAGTCAGAATGCGTTTACATTTAATACTTTATGAGAACTAGTTAGTTGAGCAGGTGTGTATGTAAAAAGAGACAAACTATGTATGTTCATTGTCCACTAGATGGAGCCCAATAATAACCAATGCCATATCCGTATATTTTAATCTGAAATCTGTCTATTTATCTTCTCAATCTACACTGAATTGCTTAAATGTAGGCATACATGGTTTGGTTCCCTTTTTAGGGCTTATTGCTTCAGTATTTCTAATTGTCTACGTTATAATTACTTTCATCATCTGTTTACAATTCACTGGTACATTTTCCTAACAACATATATAACTGTTATCAATTCTGTGATATATGTAACATTACAGCAATGTGATATCTGTCTGTCTGTCCATTTACAGCAATGTGATATGTCTGTCTGTCCATTTACAGCAATGTGATATGTCTGTCTGTCCGTTAACAGCAATGTGATATCTGTCTGTCCGATCACAGCAATGTGATATCTGTCTGTCTGTCCGATTACAGCAATGTGATATCTGTCTGTCTGTCCATTTACAGCAATGTGATATCTGTCTGTCTGCCTGTTTACAGCAATGCGATATCTGTCTGTTTGTCCGATTACAGCAATGTGATATCTGTCTGTCCGTTTACAGCAATTTGATATCTGTCTGTCCGATTACAGCAATGTGATATCTGTCTGTCCGATCACAGCAATGTGATATCTGTCTGTCCATTTACAGCAATGTGATATCTGTCTGTCTGTCCGATTACAGCAATGTGATATCTGTCTGTCCATTTACAGCAATGAGATATCTGTCTGTCTGTCCGATTACAGCAATGTGATATCTGTCTGTCTGCCTGTTTACAGCAATGCGATATCTGTCTGTTTGTCCGATTACAGCAATGTGATATCTGTCTGTCCGTTTACAGCAATTTGATATCTGTCTGTCCGATTACAGCAATGTGATATCTGTCTGTCCATTTACAGCAATGAGATATCTGTCTGTCTGTCCATTTACAGCAATGTGATATCTGTCTGTCTGCCTGTTTACAGCAATGCGATATCTGTCTGTTTGTCCGATTACAGCAATGTGATATCTGTCTGTCCGTTTACAGCAATTTGATATCTGTCTGTCCGATTACAGCAATGTGATATCTGTCTGTCCGATCACAGCAATGTGATATCTGTCTGTCCGTTTACAGCAATTTGATATCTGTCTGTCCGATTACAGCAATTTGATATCTGTCTGTCAGGTTCCAGTTTATAGTTATACACTGAAACCAGTAAAAAAAAACCTACTTATTGTGACATCATGTGCTTATATGACAACACATGTCCATTCACAATGTGTATAGGTATATCTATATATCATGCTGCAAATTGGATAAGTGACATCATATGCCGACATCACAACCTCTCACAGGAGCCCAGTGGGTTAATGTGTGCATGATTATGTGCTAATCAGTCAGATCTTTTCAGCAGGAGGGAAGTTAACTAGTAGGAAAAAACAAGGAAAGAATATAAATTATATTTATGTATAAATGGAGTGAGCTGTTTGTGGTTTTCTGTCACATTAGTTTACCAAGGTAGTTTTATAGGCATCATACCAAACCCAGCACTACCGAGAGTATAGAATGCCAGCAATCAAATATGCTGAAATCTTTTTGTATTAACTGTGTAGAGGCAATAGTAATTCTACATATGCTGCAGCCAATGTTCCTATAAACAAAACATTTAGAGAGATTTAAAAACATGAAACTGGTTAAAAATATCTGGTTTTAGCTTATATTACAGGAAATCTTCAATGAACAGAAGATAGTGACTGCTAATAGTTCATTCTCATTTGTGTGCCAGAGCCGATGAGTTGAATTTTAACTGTATTTTTATTGATTCTATGTAGTAAAACAACTTGTTTCTGTTTCTCTGTAAAGCACGGGGATTCTTACAGTAAAAGGTATAACTGGATAGATCCATATTTGTATTTGCTTTGGGGTTATTCAGTTTAAAAGTTAATTTTATAGAGGGGAACTGTTGGTTCCAAGAATTTTTAGAAGGAACACGTTAGTCACCAGAACCACTGTAGCTTAATGTTGTGGTTCTGGTATCTATATCTTGTCCCTTCAGAGAAAACCCAGTGTTTACATTGATGCCTAGTAACACCTCTAGTGGCAACTAGAGGTGCTTCCTAGTCTAGTGCTGCACAGTGTGTATTGAGTTGCTGAATGTTTCCCATAGAGATGCAATGGGGTATTGCATTTCTATGAGGAGATGATGATAGGTGCAGAGAAGCGTATTACAGCGCATGTGCAATAGCCTCCCAATACTTTCCTATGGGAAAACATTGGATTGGCTGAGATCATCAAGATTGGTGATCTCAGCCATGGAGGCAGAGCCAGCCTCAGTGAGACTGGCACTGCATGGGAAAAATGTGAGTTAAATCACCTTTTTACTGAAATCGCAGGGGGGCTGGTAGGAACACTATACCATTAAGAATAAAAACAAGTATTACTAATGATAGAATGTTATCATAACTATTTGAACTATGGGGCACCCCTATGTGCATTACATTTTTTATGTTTACATTATAGTGTCTAATGTGCTTTTCTCTATGCAGTCACCACTCCTCCTTAATACTAGTGGTCTTAGCCCATTCAATGCTTACCTGTACGAAAAGCATTGGGAGGCTAGTGTGCCAATTTCCATGCTGTTACCAATCAGAATCTTCTCATAGAGATGCACTGAGTCAATGCATCTCTATAGGGAGCGTTCAGCATCATGCAATCTTTGCAGGACCACATCTAGTCCCTATAGTGGCTTTCTGAGTGATAGTTGCTAAAGGTGGTGTTAGGCAGCAATGTAAACATTGCTTTTTCTGAATAAAAGGCAGTATTTGCATTGCTTTGCATGCAGGGCCAGTCTTCTTACCCCAGAACTAATTGTAGTAATTCTGATGCCTATAGTCTTTAATGGTGCCTTTAACGTTATATTTACTTTTCCCTTAAATTTAGCAAATGTCTTAAAAAATAAAACTCAATGTAGAAATTCTCGCTGCTATATTTACCTCTGTCCTATACCTCGGTGCCTCCACCTCTGCCCCCTGTCAATCATCATTATTAATGTGATTTTCTGCCATTAAACATAGTTAGATACGCAGAAACCATCTCCTCTCCATTTGCATTGTGTGCCCTGAAACGGAACTGTGATGCTAAATATATAAATTTAAAAGAAACAAGCATCGCAAAGATTAACACAAGTTATAGGTGATTTTCAATGTTTTACTCAATAAAATTTCTAGAGAAGAGCCGGTTCCCCTTTTAAAGCATTGCTCACTCTTTGGTTTGTAGGATTCCTATCCAGCACTCATTATAACTTGCTATGTGATAAGTCAATAAAAGACACATAACCAGGGCATGTAGGTACATTTATGTGCTCACAGTCATTATTCAGTATAATTGATTCACAAGAGATCAGTTTGTACAATATTTCCAATTTACTGCTTCACAGAATATTTGCATGCTAACTGTATGCAAAATAAACAGCTGTATGCAAAAAGGAACATTGTGCACGATACAACAAAACAATTTTTATTAAACAATCTCACAGATAACTACTGTTTTGATATCAATTTTCGTCTAGTGTTTAGTGTCAGTCAAATCGCTGGCCACTTTCACTGTCACTTTCACTGGTGTTTTCTGACGTCTGACGACTATTGGATGATTTACTGACATCTCTGTGTTTACCATTTTTTTTTCTGTGTCCAGAAGCATGTTTTTTTCTGGAGACTTTTGTCTTTTCAATGCTGGCGCTTTCAGCACTGTCCAATTCTTTTTTCTTATTCTTGGTATTTTTCCTCATGGTGTCTATCCTTCCTCTGGCTTTCTGATTATCTGTACTTTTCTCTACAGGTGGGATTGCTGTAACTCCATAGGTTTCATTGTAATTTGGAATGTCTGCAAAGGCACTGCCTTCTGTAGGGTAATATTCTTCAGGATCATTCCTTCTATTAGTTATGTTTTCATCTCCGTAATAAGGTTCTATTGTGGGAGTAATAGCATTGGATTCCGGAAGAACCCCATATTGCTTTAATATGTCAGAAAATGTTAATCTACTGTGACTCTGTGAATAGTCTCCCTTGCCAAAATAGTCTTTAGGTTTCAGATCACCAATGTGTTTTTTTGTGGTATCAGTGTTTTCTTGAGTAGTATTCAGAAAATCTACGAAAGATGTTGTAGCAGTCTCTACTTCTGTATCCACTAAATTTACTGTATCATTGCCATTGAAACTTTCCATGTCATAAGGTTGATGATACAAATTAGGTTTTCCTGTTCCATACAATGTGGCTTTATACACATCATTCTCTGCATCAACCTAAGTGACAAAAAAAATAAAATAATTTTCATTAGTTTTGCATTTAGAAGCAAATTAAATGGAAACAATAGTTCCAGTCTCTGCCTCCGCTCCTCCCCTGCAGATATCAGCGCATGCACATGTGTGGCAATAGCTAAGCTCACATTAGTATTTCCCCAATAGGAAAGCATGTTTAATGTTTTCCTATGGGGTTTTACATGACACTGGATGTTCTCATGCACTGCGTGAGGACATTTAGTGTCAGGCGACCAAAAGTCATAGAAACAAAGAAACATAGAATGTGACGGCAGATAAGAACCATTCGGCCCATCTAATCTGCCCAATTTTCTAAGTACTTTCATTAGTCCCTGGCATTATCTTATAGTTAGGATAGCCTTATGCATATCCCACACATGCTTAAACTCCTTTACTGTGTTAACCTCTACCACTTCAGCTGGAAGGCTATTCCATGCATCCACTACCCTCTCAGTAAAGTAATACTTCCTGATATTATTTTTAAACCTTTGCCCCTCTAATTTAAGACCATGTCCTCTTGTTGTGGTAGTTTTTCTTCTTGTAATTATAGTCTCCTCCTTTACTGTGTCGACCCAAAAGTACCTCTACTGCCAGTCTGGGAGAAAGCCACTAGAGGTGAAGTTAAAGGGACACTCCAGGCACCCAGACCACTTCTGCCCATTGGAGTGGTCTGGGTGCCAACTCCCACTACCCTTAACCCCGCAACTGTAAATATTGCAGTTTTCATAAACTGCAATATTTACCTTGCAGGGTTAACTCCTCCTCTAGTGGCTGTCTACTCCTAGAGGGCACTAGAGGGTTTATAGCACTAGAGGGCACTTCCGGGTTTATAGCACAGATTTTCTGTGCTATAGTGTTGCTGGACGTCCTCACGCTATGTGAGGACCTCCAGCATCGCTGAAATCCCCATAGGAAATCATTGAAAGCATTTTCAATGCTTTCCTATGGGGAGGTCTAATACTAGAGGGTTTATAGCACTAGAGGGCACTTCCGGGTTTATAGCACAGATTTTCTGTGCTATAGTGTTGCTGGACGTCCTCACGCTATGTGAGGACCTCCAGCATCGCTGAAATCCCCATAGGAAATCATTGAAAGCATTTTCAATGCTTTCCTATGGGGAGGTCTAATACGGTTTTAACCCCTTCAGCAACCTAGGATGGGGGGTGGGAGGGAGGGAGAGGGGACCTTCAGTGCCAGGAAAATGGTTTGTTTTCCTCGCACTGGAGACTCCCTTTAACCCTGCAAAGTAATTATGGTCTGAGTGCCTATAGTGCCACTGTAAGTTGTATTTTTTGTTTGTATTTAAATGAATAGTCATTTAAAAAAAATAAATTTATTTCATGCAGGTAATTTAACCTAACTAAGAAGAAAGTTAATCTATTTGTGCCCACTAATGCCTACCATATCACTAAATCCCACATGCCCAAGTAATTTAGCACTAAGCCCCATAACCACAATATGTCATACTGGTAGATAATATTTCTGGTGCTATATTCTTGACAAATATTGTTTTGACTACAGTTAGAGCTCTTTTACAGCACATCTCACTTCTGCATTATTAGTTGCAAATTGCAAATGTATCCAGCTTTGGATGACAGTGATAGATGACCCACTGGGATTGGTTACAGGTCCTCTCAGCATATTATTATGGTTAATGGTTGGATTGATTTTAATTTTGCAATATGAACATGTGGGCAATTCATGGTTTAATGCAAGCAAACTATTGAGGATACAGTTCAAATATGAAACATAAACACAGAACAAATATCATAGCGTAACATGTACAAGAATAATGTACATAAATGTATAATTCATCTTTTACACTATAAGCAGCATGTCACAGCATTAAAGTTTGTGAAATAGCCAAAAAGAGCTATTAAAAGAACACCCAATGCACCATAACCACCTGCTGCAGTGGTTAGAGTGCCATGGTAAGTATCATATACATAAGTACATATCATTTTAGTACGGTTTGACAACTTACTTGGGTCAAACCAGGCGCCCTTGGCCACAGCTCCTGCTAAAAGTCTTTTCCTACAGGAGAATCAGATTAACTTACAGAACCATGCAGCGCCATGTAGGATCATCCTTATTGGCTGAGAGTGTCAGCTGAGCATTCTTAGCCAATGAGTGCAGCCCTGAATTATCTGTGTTTTATTCTATAGAGACATCCAGCATCTCCAGCAAAAAACACCTGATTTGATATGGGCGCTAGGTGAAACCCAAGTAATTGTCAGACAGTACTAGTGATCTATTCATCAATTGGAAAATTAGTTCAGTGACCTATTCTTTAATTGGCATAAAATATATAACAAAATAAAATTAGTAAAATCCCTTAAAGAAACACTCCAAGCACCATGGCAAGATCTCACAACCAGTAAAGTGACCCCCCCCCCTCCACCGCCCATTGTAAGTGAAATTAGGGGAGGGCTAGCTATAGGTTTCTGTGAAGGAGCCTGTGCTGTGTTCATCACTAGTGCAATTCATGAAAAAACACTGAGTGGAGTTATTCAACTGCTGCCAAACAAAATATTTCATAACACTTTTTTTGTTCATGTCTTTTGGGATATTACAAGAATTTCCATTGAAATAATGGGCAATTCCTGAGAGGTTCAAAATACATTTTTATATAAGCATATATATGTATATATATATATCCCTACTACTCTGTCCCTTTAAGTAGTATGTAGCTGGGTGCCACTTGGACAGTCTCAGTACCAGAGACCAAATGCTGAGTAACAAAATAGAAGAAAGGTCCAGGCACTCCAAGGTACAAACCAGGCAATTGTATTGAAGCCCATTTTATTGTGATGGAGTGGGTTCAATAAACTTGCCTGGTTTGTACCTTGGAGTGCCTGGACCTTTCTTCTATTTTATATATATCTATATGGCATTTCCAGGCTAGAGTCTGTGTATTGATTTTTAGGGACCCATGGTTTAATGTTACCAGACTGTTTGTCAGTCTCTGCTTGAAAGAGAACAAAGCACCGGGGGTGGCTTTTAACAGGCAGAGTTGGCACACATGATGGCCCTATCAGGAATGTGACTGTAGGCAAATGCTAACCCTGCCTAGCAGAAAGTCTAGCCCTGATTCACCATGGTCTCCCAGGATTTACCTTTGGTGTTGGTCCTTTTTCAGGTTGAAACTCAAATAGAAACACTTTTAAACCATGCTTGGAATCTTGGCCCTGTAACACAAGCTGTAAATACAGCAAGGGAGGGAGAAATCATCTTAATTTATTAAACTGCAAAATCTAAAAAGTTAGGAAATGGGGTTAATAAGATGTGCCAAGAAGGTCAAATCTGGTCTAATAAACTATTTCTTTTAACTGAACAGGAGGTATTCGCAATGCTCTCATTTGGTAGTTCGTAGATTTTACAAGTAAAATAATATTTAATAGTACAGTCTGCATGTGTTTTGGTATTTACTAAGACACTAAGCTTGAAATAGTATTTATATCAGAGAGTTCTTGTGCATGTTTTGATTATTGGGCTCCTGGTTTTAAAATAAAAAAAAGTCAAGTAAGACATTATGCAAAAACAGAAGGAAAGAAAGCAAAAAAAAAACAACAAAACATTCCTGACACACCAGCTTTTCCCAATAAGGGTACTGTCCCCCACAGTGGCACATTTGCTTTCATACTGAGAGGCCAGTCCATTGGCTTTCAAGAGGGTGAGCAAAAACAGTAATGCAAACTTTGTATATATATAGAAGCATCACCTCAACAAGTTTAAAAAGTGTTGGTATGAATAGCAATAAATATGAAAAATGACAGTCAGTTAAGTGACTATTTTGTTAACATGACCATGCAAATAAGGAACATACTTATTGAAGTGTGTTAGTGGTAGTAGAAATCATGTAGATGGAATGAAACAAGAGTGATGTATAAAAGGTGGATTTGAAAAGAATGCCTTGAGGACCATGATGTGTGCATGTTTTCTGATATATATATATATTGTCTTTACAGTATAACACTAGGAGCTTGTCTCCCCTTTTGCTTTATTTTCCTCTCTGAAGTCCTTCTGAATTAAAGATGTTTTGGTATTACCTAAGATACCACTGCTGTTAGAATTTGATCCTATACCTATTTGGCTCTGTCCCATGTAAGTGGCATCCATTCTATGTATCATTCGGGCTTTTGTTTTAATACACTTTATTATATTTCCTTTATCCTAGTTTATATCACCTTTCTCTTATAAGGATAAGTGTATACATAGCATTGCACTGGGTTTACTTGAGTGGAAACATACTACTTAGTTCACTTTGTCTTTTGCAAAAAATAAAAAAAAATCGCCTTACTTGACCACTCAAAACATTCACAAAGTGCAATAACACTGAAAGTGAAGACTTCCACTATTTGAGAAAGTGCCTCTAGTGGCTATCTGATTATCAGCATAGGGGAATTCTTCAAGGTCTTAGTGCCCAAACCACTACATTAAGATGTAGTGGTTTTGATGCTTAGAGTGTCAGAGTTTTGGTGAATAATTCAGGCCTTGATTTAATATTTTCGTATAAACGTTTCAAATTATTTTTAGACATTTTTTAATAGCAAAACATATACCATATATAAAAAAATATATATAATTATATTTAAAAAATCAAACTTTTACAAAATTACAATATTCTTCATTGTAGTAAATAATTTTATAAGATTATCCAAAAATATTAAATAATTTAAAAAACATATATAACAGTTTAAATTGAGGCCTATAACACTTGTAACAACAGTATGCAGTTCCTTTCTATAGGGACATTGCTAGAGGGGCTGACCTGGGTTGGAACCCCTTAGTGGGATCTTGAAAAGCCCCAGGATTGACTTTGGCACTCTTTCACTGGCAGTAATGCTGAGAGAGGTAATAACATCTCAATTTGCAACATTTGTGACAGTTTCACCATAATGGCCTAAATTTGGAATTAATTATACAGAACAGTGTGGAGCTATTGCTGTTAGGACACTGTGTCAGTGCAATGGACACAAAATGTAATACTGCACGTTTTGGTTAATACTGCGAGATTGGGGTTAATACAGCACTTTGTAGGGTTAATACAGGAGGTGCCTAATTCATAAATATACAGCAGGTATAAACAATACTCTAAATTAAATTGGTGTCCTAATTAATGTACCACCTTAGGGTATAGGGTTGGAGGCACTTTTTGTAACTTTTATCAGTAGTCCAGAAATTTTGAAAAAGGAGTGGAATGGTTAGAAGGATGAATATACAGACACATTCATAGAATGTGATGTGATGGCAGATAAGAACCATTCGGCCCATCTAGTCTGCCCAATTTTCTAAATACTTTCATTAGTCCCTAGCCTTATCTTATAGTTAGGATAGCCTTATGCCTATCCCACGCATGCTTAAACTCCTTTACTGTGTTAACCTCTACCACTTCAGCTGGAAGGCTATTCCATGCATCCACTACACATAGAAAACAAGAATACACACCTGTGGTTCTGGTTCACAACAGGTCCTTTTGCTATCAACAGTGGAAGTTTGGGTCTATAAATAAAAATATTAGCGTAATGTATTTATTTTATTTAAAAATTTATAAAATGCATTGGAAACATTTTGCATACTGCTTATATAATTCTCAACTTGTGTCTTTGGAACTGATTTCATAATACATTTGAGCACAATTTTAATAATTAATTTGGCAATGTTTTTACCTACAAAAGCTGAATTCTAGAAGCATCACCTCAACAAGTTTAAAAAGTGTCGGAATGAATAGCAATAAATAGGAAATATGACAGTCAGGTATGTGACTATTTTGTTAACATGACCATGCAAATAAGGAACATACTTATTGAAGTGTGTTAGTGGTAGTAGAAATCATGTAGATGGGATGAAACAAGAGTGATGTATAAAAGGTGGATTTGAAAAGAATGCCTTGAGGACCACAATGTGTGCATGTTTTCTGATAATAGAGATTTGGGATAGAATGCAACCATGTGCTTTAAACTTTATCTAGGGAATGACAAACAGTAATAATCATAAATAACAATGATATTTAATGTAAAATTAATTATTCTTCATACTTACTGGGAGAGCATATGTTTCTGAAAGGAGCCAAATGCAGACAAGTAGTACTAACTTCATCTTTAGCAATTGTAACTTGAAGTGGTTAAAACGACCTGAAAAATTAACATTTTTACTATTAGGTGATGGCATTGACAAAATAGGACTGATCTGGTAGGATTTATCACAAGGACAGTGTGCAGGGTTATTCCCAGAGCTCCAAACTATGACTGTAAAAGCTCCTCCTGGCCTGGACAGGACGGAGCACTCTAGATTATCTGCACTCACAGCTTTAAGGGGGCACAGGGCCAGTTAAATAAATATTTTGATCACCCACGTTGCCAAGCAGGCAGGGTTTACTTTGTGAGCCTTATTTTTATAATGCAGTTATCAATTTACCACAGTTAACCATTTCGTGAAAAAAACAAAACTTAGAAAATAAATTTTATCCAAGCATTAAACAATAAGTCTCATCACGCTCTCAACAAGTGCAAGGTAACAGCAGACGGCCATAACCCTGAGGGGTGTGTCAATGTTTGAGGTATATGTAAACAGATATATATATATATATATATATATATATATATATATATATATATAAAAATTAACTGCTTCCTACCACAAGCATTGAATTACAGAAGTATATAAAACATTAGCAATCAGTATCTACTTACTTAATAATCAATTGTTTTTATTATGTTAAAATATAGTATTAATTATATCAGACAAATGCGCAAACCCATAAATTATTTATCCTGATCACAACATAGAGGGATCCAAACATGACTTACTGTTGTTGAACTACAATTCCCATAATTCTCTGTCTGATAGTGACACAGATTAGTTGACTGTTTTAAAAATATATATAATATATGCACTGCTGTTGGCCTTATTCGTAACAATACTTGGCCTCAGTAATCAGTAAAGTGCTAAGCACACATGTTAGGCATATATAAATAATATATAAGTACACATATGTAAATATATGAAATGTAGTTCAACAACGGATACAGTGCCACGTTTGGAAATCAGTACTGTTCCAAGTTATAAACAGGTTCACATTAAGCAGACAATGAGCTGGTCAGATGCATGCTGGTAAAATTAATGTTCTAAGCACAAGAGGAAGTCAATCTAAGCACTGATATAATATCATAGATATAAAATATTATACAATGCATAGTTAGTTTTGTATATTCTTTAATATGACATAGTTCTGTGATGTTCTCAATGAAGATTTACTTGAAATTATAGATTACATATATGTAACAAAACATATAACATGCTGCAAACTAATATTAAATCAATAGAAAATGAAAAATAATGTTACCTTGTATTTAGAGTTTCTTTTCTCCCAACAACATTCTACGGTACATAGACTAAAAGTCTATTATCTCGGAAATATAAAGTTAGGGGCAGCCAATCAGTTTTTTTTCCATTCAGAAGACTATGACAACAGCTCCCAGAAATCACATTGGAATTATTTTAAAATTAAATTGCTTTGTGGTGAAAACAATTGAGCATTTTACTGTCACATACATCTTGCAAAACATTACGTCTTAACACAAAACATAATTACTAGAACATTTTGTACTAATAATGAAGGGGACTTACATTGTAAGTCTTTTGGGGACATTGCACAAGAAAATAAGTTGAAAACTACAATACACGTCAACCACAGTTTAGAAATAAATGAATACTTGTGGTTTGCCAAAGTAGTGGGTAGAAAAAGCAATAATTTTTTGTCTATCATTAGGGTGGGCCATAAACATACTTTTACCCCAATCAAACATGTAATTAATGGTTGCTTGTTTATCATACTGTATGTTTCATTTATAAGTTTCCAAATTCACTTTGTACGAAAGTTAGTTTTTTTGAAACACAAAGCTCTATTCACTAAAGGGTGAACTTAAAACCAAATTTGCAGCTTGGTAAAAAATAAAAAAATTATGGAACTTGGCTATTTGGCAAAAATGTATTAAATTTGATTTTCATACTGTCAAATTAAGCACGTTTAGAGAGTCCTGTTTCATAGACTCTGTAAATGACAGTTTTTGTGATTACCATTATTTAGCACAAACATATTTAGGATCCATGTACACATACATCCAACTTGTGCACTGAACTTTCTTAAAGCTGTGATACAATTACTAATAAATAACTCCAACATCCTCTGATCGGGATGGAGATGGGTGGACCTGGGGTAGTTGTGCCAGTTATGCAACTTGGGTCACTGCTGTCTGAAGCACTTGCACTGTGCTGGCTGGGGACAGTTTTTTGGGGCTACTTAAATTGGGACAGTGTGGAGGCCTGCTACTACGTTGACACAAGTGTCACATGTGCCTATTGTAATCCTAATTGAAAGCAGTGCCTAAAGGAAAACTCCTTAATTCCCAATTTCATTACAAGACACAGAGACTCCTATTATGCTTATTCTCCTTCTTTACTTAAATAACAGCAAAGAAAAAAAAAACAGAAAAGAGGTAAAATTAACATATAATGACATCAATTAATCAGATCCCATGACAGATTATAAAAGGTGTCATGAACACTCCATAGTCCTCTTTTTTGTTGCTCCTTGTCGAAAACAGATTAGTACAATGTTTACATTTTGTTATTTTATATATAATATTGTATTTATTTAATATTTGATTATATATTTAAATTTGCCATCCATTTTCTGTTTATTAAGGATTTAGTATTATTTTTTCTTATTCATTTATTTCCTGTTTGTAGAATTGTGGTTTATTTTGTGCTCCAGTTAACCCCCTCCCCCTTCGACTAGAAAATTCATTTTATACATCCTTACTTCGTTTCTGTGTCATTTCATGTATTTTGCTCTGTGGCGCACAACCGTTAGTGCCAGATCCAGCCTCCATTTTAGGGTTTGAGGTTCCCTCAGATTGAATACAGCGATACCAGAGTACAGGAGCCAGAAAATGGCAGACAGAATGTAGGGTGGGGACTTTTAACAGGCAGAGTAGGCATGCTAGTGAGGCACATAAATGTGGGTAATTGCCTGCACTGTCTAATGGGAAATCTGGCCCTGGAAACATAGCGGTTCTTTGCCTGGCATGATACCTGTCCCACGCAGTGCCATACTATTATGGAAGTAACATCACTTTAATTTTTCAATGCAAACAAGACATTTCCAAATCATTCCTCGCCTACTGTCATCTGTTTATGACATAATTTATGACACAGAATCCTTCCATTTCTTTCCTTTCATATTGTCTATGCGGCCCTTTTTGGTGATGTGTACACACGTATGATATGACAGCCCTCTCTAACCAATCACAACCCAGTATAGGGTATATATATACTTCCTGGTTATACTTATTTCCTTGCCTTGTCATGGTTTCTGTATACCCAAAAGTGCCTTATCGTCTAGTGATTTGCCATTTATTGACCTTTGCTTGTCTGACTATGCTTGCTCTCTGTAATCATGACCTTGGCTTATTTCTCATGTCTGTGTACCACTGATACCATTGATCTTTGTCTGTTTTTGGTTTACTCTTTGTCTACTTATTGATATTCTGTATCTTAGGACTAGCTGGACACTCTAAGAACTAGTACATGCTTCTGTCCTATGTCTGTTTTTCCGTGTTAGGGTAGTCTAGTCCTGACAGTGCCTCCCTGGTGAGCAGTGTGGAAATGGACTGTCTGCTCTCGGCAGAGTGAGACGATTGTCAGTTGCCTCTCTCCCTGTGTCACTTTTTACCCCTTAATCAGCTTTGATGACAACATGGGAGTGCCTGCTGTAGTCCACTGAAGCATCTGACAAAATGCTAGGGTGATACTATCCCACATTAAGAGTGGGAGGCACCTTCAGTATTCTCATTCACTCATTCACACAGTTTAAAAAAAAAAAAAAGAGTGGTCACTTTCTCATAAGTGAGCACTTGTAGACAAAAGAATAGAACTAGTGAGACCTTACCCGTTCAAAAATCTAAAAGCCAACACTATTTCAGTAGAAGATAGCTGGTAGCCAGCCAGAATCATGGAAGAAGACTGAAGTATCATGATGAGAGAAGAACTAAAAGGGGAGAGAATCCGACCAATGGAACCTGGCCCATCCCTACATTTGCTGTTGCTAATGTTGGGCAATAGAAGTTATACTGCTCTGTCTTGTGTCTTTTTAATATATATGTATCTTATAATTTAACATTGCCACTGCAAGTGTGGAGAATGTGTGACTTTCTACTTGCCAGGGCTAAATTTTCACTTGTCAATGCAGGGGACCAAACAGAGGCGAGAAGAGGAAGTGCAGAAACCCACTTTTTTTGTTAAACAATTAAATTGTTTAACACCTATAAATGACAATCCAAGCACCATAACAACTACAGCACGCTGTAGTGGATACAGTGCCAGGAGTTCCCTTTATAAGGGTTAAACCATTTTAGAAAAGTCTGACGTTTTACCTTTGGGTCTACTGGCTGATGGCGACACATTCCGCCTCCTCTACAGATCAGTGAGAGACTGAAGCTCCTGAGGCTTATGTTAAGGACAGTGCAGGACTAGTGCATTGGCTGAGAGCATCAGCTGATTGCTTTCAGTCAATGAGCTAAACCCTGCAACATTGTAGTGGCCAAGGTGTTGTAGTGGTTATGGTGCTTGGAGTGTTTCTTTAGGGAAGATGGTGACCAGGGTCTCCAACCCCTAAAACAATTTCATTGAGTTGTTTGAAATTGTTTCAAGGGTGAAACAATCATTTACATTTTGGCCAAAAACACCAAGCATGCAATATAGAAGGATTGGGGATTTTTTTTCAGTTCACTAACAACAATCTGTTTGGCAAAGAAACTATTTCAATTATATCTTCAAAAACAACTCACAAGATGATAATCAGTTCAATCTATTACTTCTCCAAACATCAGCCCAATCTCCTCCAGACAGGAAATCATTAACGTGTGGTGACAATAAATGCTGATTGTGATTGTATGTAATTTTTTATACATGCAACTGTACATTTTTATTAAAATAAATATGACTTTTACTGATCACTAAACTGTGAATTGCCAGGAATTTTCCATGGCCAAAATGTCAAAAAACATAGCTCATTGGATAATATTTCCTAAAATTTGGAAATCCCTGAAAATGTTTTAGTAAATAAACAAAAATAAGAATCCACAATCTTATCTGGTCCTGGTGCATCCATCCCGGGGCTGGCTAACCCAATTCCAATGGAAAACCATTTTAGAAAAGTCTGACGTCTTACCTTTGGGTCTACTGGCTGATGGCGACACATTCCGCCTCCTCTACAGATCAGTGAGAGACTGAAGCTCCTGAGGCTTATGTTAAGGACAGTGCAGGACTAGTGCATTGGCTGAGAGCATCAGCTGATTGCTTTCAGTCAATGAGCTAAACCCTGCAACATTGTAGTGGCTATGGTGTTGTAGTGGTCCAGGCACTCAGAATCACTTATGCAGCAGTTTTATTTGAAAATCAAAAAAAACATGCAACATTTCGATCTCAATGATTTTTCAAGCATCTATTGTTTTACTCGTGAATAACCTGGACAGTAATTTTAAAGATAGAATCCCACCGGCAATAGATGTTTTTTCCCTTCTCGTGATTTGTTGAGAAATAATGTAAAATTAAATTAAGTTAATTACAAATTATAGGTCAAAATGGCGAGATGGCAGATGTTTTGGAGATTCTTTCCGATTTCCTTTTTTTTTTGTGCCAAAAATGTACTATTGCCTTGGTTTCCAGTCAAGTTAATTACCTGGAATAAGAATTCAGGAATTTGATGGCAAGGCACATATAATAATAGTACTGAGCCTATTTATCAAGCAATCTAGTTATGATGCCATTCAAACAGCAAAATCCAGACATTTTCACACTATTTATAATTACTGGGTTTTGCATTTCTGACTCCAAATGAACCAGAATTGTGTCCAAGGCTCAGCTGGACTGAACACTGCCGTCTGGCTGAAAATTGGGCCCGGATTTTAAATGTCTGAAATATTTGCCTGATGGCAAGTGAATGAATATTTGCGAATGTACAAGCTTTTGGCCAAATGATGCAGATTTGGTCATGGTGATTGTATTGTGACCAAAATTGGCTTTTGTAAGTATGCCAGTCTGGTCAGAATTAGACAATTTTCACCAAATCTATACTTATATGCAAAATTTCCAGGCAATGTATCCAGCCAAAAGTTGCACATGCAGATCCAGATAACCAAATAGCTTAATTAAATATTAGAATTTCCATTATGAAATTTGGTAATTTAAATGATGTTTAATAATTTGGTATTTAGTATGTATTTAATGTTCCCTGGCCACAAAATAATAGCCCACAATTTTACATCATGGAATCTTCATTCTCTGCAGCTCACTGGATGATAGCTATTTATTAGTGCTATTAATAAGACATAGCGATATTAAGTTATTAAAGGACCACTAAAGCCACCGAGACTACTTAATCTTAATAAAGTGGTCTGGGTGTAATGGTCCTTTAGTTTAATGTTTAGTTGCAATGTTTTAAT